GCTTCCCAAGTAGCTGGGACCACAGGCGCCTGCCACAACTCCTGGCTATTTTTTGGTTGCAGCCATTATTGTTGGTTGGCAGCCCAGGCTGGATTCGAACCCGCCAGCTCAGGTGTATGTGGCTGGTGCCTTAGCTGCTTGAGCCACAGGTGCCGAGCTGTGTTGTTTTTTGTTTTTTTTTTAATTGTTGTTTTCTTTTGGGTTCACATCTAGTTTGGAAATAGGATTAGTTCAAAATCCTATTTTGTATTTCAGGTCATATTTGGGGCATTGTGAATAAAATAGGTTATATTGTGAACTGTATCATAATAATAATAACAAATAGAAAAAGAAGATAGAAGAGGAGGAGAGATGAGGAGGAGGAGGAGAGTCGACTGTAATTTCCACCCACACTCTAACTCTTCAGTCTGAAAACCGCAGACTGTGTCCCTGTGTCCTTGGGAGCCCCGAGCCTTCTTTTCTCCTGTCTTGCTGTCCAGTTCTTTCTCCAGCAACTAGTGCAGAGGTTTTTAGGCATCCCTGTGATGTCAGTGACCAGCAGCTGCTCTGGGAGACCTGGGCCAGGCGACATTGCATCCTGAGCCTCAGTTTCCCTCTCTATACATGGCTCACACCCTTGCTGCACAGGGTGGTAGGGGCCGAGGAGGAAGGAGAAGGAACAGGCACAGCCACAGCTTTCTTCTCCCTCCCACCTCTGGCTGGGGGACAACTGTCTTTTACAAGAGTGGTGCCTGTGGGGCCCTCACCTGGGACAGGTGAGGAAAATGTCTTTGATTAAGACTTTGTCTCAGGGATCAGCGCTCGTAGCTCAGTGGGTAGGATGCCAGCCACATACACCGAGGCTGGTAGGTTCAAACCCAGTCCCGGCCTGCCAAACAACAAGAACTACAACCAAAAAATTGCCAGGCGTTGTGGCAGGTGCTTATAGTCCCAACTACTTGGGAAGATGAGGCAAGAGAATCACTTGAGCCCAAGAATTTGAGGTTGCTGTGAGCTGTGACGTCACAACACTCTACCCTACGATCAGTCTCAAAAAAAAAAAAAAAAGACTTTTTCTTTGTTGTTAATATGTTTAAAACCTCTGGGCTGTTTTATCATTTAGATGAGTCTGTCACCATCTAAAATAAGGTAATTTCAGATAAGATGGTGGAGTGGCTGGTGAGAGGTTTGGAGCAACAGAACACTGATGATGTCACCTAAACTCATTCAGTTGTTCGTTTACTCAACAAATATTTATGGAGCACCTACTGTGTGCTGTTCCAGCCTCTGGAGATATAAATATAGGGAATGGGTATCAACAGATAAGCAAACAAGATAATTATTGATTATAGCTATGTTTTGGAGAAAACAGGCAGGTGTAAGAGGCAGCAGAATGGGGAAGGAGGTGAGCTTGAGTACAGGTGTGGTGAGAAGAATCCAGCCCTGGAAAGATCGCAGAAAGGGTCCACGCCCTGAGGAAGGGAAAGGCTTGCAGACGGCCCGTGGGTGTTGAATAGAGAGTTTGTGGCAGGGCCCAGGGCCCACAGCCCCTCGTAGGGTGGTTTATGGGCTTGAAGACTTATTCTATGGGCAAGGGGAAGCCATCTTAACCCAAGGACACTGTTGGGAAAATGGAATTGAAAACAGAATCTCCCAATCCAGAAAAACCTCTCCACCCTCCACCACCACCGCCATTCCAACAGAGAAGGAAACTGTTCTGCTGTTGAACAGGCATTAACCGGAATGTGGCTCCCATCACAGTCGGCTCAGGGTCGGCAAGGGCAGGAGAGTGCACCTCCTCCTTACGGCCTGACAGATAGAACTCAGCACAAGCATGTGTTCAAGACCCATGTATAACTAGTGCTCAGGAAGAGGACTCTTGTCACACACGGTCTGTCCTGGTGGATGTAAGCTGATCTGTGTCCCCCACAACAGAGTCTCACTCTCACTCAGGTTGGTCTTGAACTCCTGAGCTCAAGGGATCCTCCCACCTTGTCCTCCTAGAGTGCTGGGATTACAGGTGTGAGCCAGCTCGCCCAGCCAAGAGACGGGACCTTGAAGAGGTGATTAGGACACGGCTCTGCGCTCATGAGTGGATTAATGCCATTATCTGGGGAGTGGATTAGTGACCTTGGGACCGAGCTGTTGTCACAGTGAGGTCAGCCCTGTCTCGCTCTCTTGCTGTCCGTGTGCCCCACTGCCCTTCTACCTTCTGCCACAGGGTAACATAGCACAAAGTTCCTCCCCAGATGCCAGAGCCAAGTTCTTGAACTTCTCAGCCTCCAGAACTCCTGAGCCAAATGAACTTGTGTTGTTTATAAATTCCCCAGTTTGCAGCATTCTGTTACAGCAGCAGAAAGCACAATAAGCCGGGCATTGTGGTGGGTACCTGTAGTCCCAGTTACTCGGGAGGCTAAGACAAGAGAATCGTTTGAGCCCAAGAGTTTGAGGTCGCTGTGAGCTGTGATGTCAGGTCACCCTGTGAGGGCAAGGGTGACAAAGTGAGACTCTGTCTCAAAAAAAAAAAAAAGAAAAGAAAAGAAAAGAAAACAGTCAGCAGCCCTAGCAAACTAAACTTTACCTGGTAGACGAATAAACAAATGTCTCATATGTTTATGCCACACCCCTAGAGAGAAGGAAGCACAGGTAACAGCTTAAAGGCTTTTCTGGTTGCAGATGGGTTTAGGGGCTTTAAATCAGGTGTGAGGCAAGTCAAGGTGGTAGGTGCCTATAGTCCCTGCACTTTGGGGGTCTGAGGCAGGAGGATCACTTGAGCCCAGGTGTTGGAGGTTGCTGTGAGCTGTGATACCACAGCACTTTACCCAGGGTGACAGCTTGAGGCGCTGTTTCAAAAAAAGAAAAAAAGACCAGCCTGAGCAAAAGTGAGACCCTGATTCTACTAAAAATGAAAAACTGAGGCAAGAGGATCACTGGAGCACAAAAGAGTTTGAGGTTGCTGTGAGCTGTGATACTATTGCACTCTACTCGGGGGGACAAAGTGAGACTCTGCCTCAAAATAATTAAATAAATAAATACATACATGCAAACAAAAATAAAGTGAGACATTAGAGAAGAGGACAGCAGGGAGATGGTGCTGGGGAAGGAGGTCAGGACCAGACACAGGGGATGGGGGCAACAGGGCCAAGTGTAAGGTTGGGCTTTGTTTAGGGCAGCAACTAGATGGCCGGAGTTGAGGTGTCAGGTGGGGCCTGGACACCTGGTGGATGTGTGAGGCTCTGTGCACCCACAAGGAAATCTCAGGCAAGGCCATCCTTCTGCAGCAGGCAGTCCCAGCCAGGCAGGCCTCTTCCGTACCTGCCTCCACTCCCTGCAGGCTCACATGGGGCTGCTTCTTGTCTCCAGCTTAGACCAGCCTCTGGGACCCACACCCCATTTCACCTGTCTCTCCTTGGACCCTGTCTTAGATCCTTGGGCCACTGAAGCTGGACCCTGGGCCCAGCACTGTGTAATGCAAAGCTGCAAGGGGTGGCGGGGTGGTGCTGTGGGTCCCGGCACTAACCAGCTCCCTTCACTTCCCCAGGCTCTGCATTGCTTAGGAGGCTCATGTTGCTACCACGGGGACCCTGCCATAGATGCCAAATCCAATCTGAGGTAAGTGTGTCAGTTTCTGTTTCTGAGCCACCCAGAGTCTACACGGAAGATGAGCGCCCCCAACGCTGTGGGCTTCCACCGCCAGTCCCTGGAGGCTGGTGAGAGGCACTGGGGTGTGACATGAGGATCAAACCACATGGGGCAATGGGGGCCAGGGGTTGCAGGAAAGATGTCCCGTGTGCACACGTCACCAAGTTAGAAATCTTTATTGGCCTCTATTGTCTAGCAAGGGGTGGAACTTGGAGAGGCAGCACTGGGGTCACGGTTCCCACACAGGTCTGCAGAGGAGCGAGGGGCTGGCCCAGGGGCTGCAGGAGCATGTCTCTGAGGGGCAGGTGAGTGAGCCAGGGTCTGCACTCTAGGGGGGCACAGTCGGGGGTCCAGGCGAAGCAGCCGCTCCTCAGCGCCGGGTTGCCTGTGAGCAGGGACATGGAGTGGGCAGTGAGGCTCCAGGCCTGGCCTGGCCTGTGCAGCCCCATCTCCCCACAGCCTCCCTCTCCCCTCACCTTGGCCTGGCTCGGTGGGTATCTGACTTTAAGGACCTCATCATTCAGCAGAGACCTCACCAGGCAAGAGCGGCGGTGAGAGAAGGTCTCGAAGCTCTTCTTGCCATGGTAGGACCCCATGCCACTGTTCCCTGTGGGCAGAGCCAGCTCAGGCCCGGGTGTTCCGCCTCCAGGACACACCAGGCCTCCATCCCTGCCCTGTGTGGGCACCCTGGAGCCCAGCACCCACCCCACGTTGGGCCTCCAGCCCTCATGCCCCTTTACTGAGCTTCCTTGGGGTGGCTAATCTCTGGAGTTCCCCCCAGTGTATCCACGCCGGGGACAACAGAAAGAGTCCCCAGGAAGAGTCTAATCACAGCTGTGCCACTAAACGGCTATGTGACTTCTTCCATGAAGCAAGCCAGCTGCACCAGGTGACCCTAGGACCTTCCAGGCTCCAGGGTCAAATGTGACTGACTGATGTGCAGGCAGAGGCCAGAGAGTCAAACAGGAGAGGCTGGGGAGCCTGAAGCCCCCACTGCTCTGGCCCCTCCTGAGCTCTCTGGGGGAGTGTGCCCAGCCCTGGGGACACCTGAAGGGCAAGTAGCCAGTGAGCCCAGCCCCAGACTCACCCACACCCCCGAAGGGCAGAGTGTGCACCGTGATGTGCACGATGACGTCATTGGCTGTCACCCCTCCACTTGATGTCTCTGCAATCATCTTCTTAATCACCTGCACCAAGACCCAGCCGCTGGCCTCAGTCTCCTACCCTAGGACACCTCCACCCTCCCTGCCCTATCTGGATGAGGCCCGAAGCTACAGAGACATGTGAGGTCCCAGCACCATCTCCCGCCCTCCTGCCAATCATGGCCCACAGCTCCATGTGAGAGCCACCACCCTGTGACTGTGTGTGGAGACCCCTCATTGCACTCAGGGGCTGCCACTGTCCTGATATTCCCGACACAGTGAATGTGGCTTGTGAACAGTGAACTCAGGTTTGAACCCTGGTCCATGGACCTCTAGACCCTGTGTCCCGGGAGCTGTGGGGCCCTGGGAGAAGGCACCCCGGCCCACCTTGTCATTGCTGGAGAACACATAGAGAGCCAAGGGCTTCTCACGCTGGTTGATGAACTGGATGGCGTCTTCCAGGCTGCGCACGCACACGATGGGCAGCACAGGCCCAAAGATTTCCTCCTGCATCACTGGAGACTGGGGGTCCACATCCGTGAGGATGGTGGGGGCTGAAGTAGGAGACAACCAGGATCAGCCAGGCGGAGACCCCCCACCCGCCGGCAAGTGTGACCACCTAGATGCCTGCCTCAGTCCTCTTGCAGATGGAGCTGCCCAGGTGTATGGAGAGGCAGGGACCCGGGCGCTCATCCCAAGGCCACTGCATGCCAGGCTCCTCCTTGAAACTGGGGACAACTGCAATTAACCTGTATGGGGGACCTGCCTCCAGGGCATTCGCACACCTGCCACCCCCTAAGCCCCAGCCAGAGCTCTTCTGTTGAGGGCCAAAAGCCTCTCTGCTGACCCACCAGCCACCACTGGTGGCCCTGGGTGTATAAGCCCTGGGGCCCTGCTGTTCCACCTCCTGAAGGATGTCTCTCTGGGATGTTGTGGGGAGAGGAGCTTCTGAAGCTGGGCGGGGGGCTTTCTGGGCTGTGGCATCCCCTGCCTGCTCAAGTCCCCAGAGTCTATCCCAGGCTCCCTAGAGAACCTGGTTTGTGCCCACCATGGGCTACATCTGCTTATCTAGTATCTGCGCCCACTTGCTGCCAACTTTTGGGGACCCTGCAGGTTGTGCAGGTGGGTGATGCTCTTTGGGGAGGCACACATACCTATGTAGCGGGCAGCCGCGTCCCCAGTGCCCCCATGGGCCACTTTCTGGCCCTCTATCAGGCCCATCACCCTCTGGAAGTGCCGGGCATTAATGATTCGTCCATAGTCCTGGGACTTCCTGGCATCTTCCCCGTAGAACTCCTGTGGAGGAGAGGAGGGGACTCCAGTAAGGATGGGGACCCTCACCACAGCCTAATGCCACACGGAAGCATGTCAGCAGTGATGGGGCGGGGGGAGCAGTGGGGTTCTGGGTGGGATTTGTCACTTTTCTGTGTGCTTTTCAATCTTTTCCAAATTGCCTGCAGGGAATGTGCATTACTTTTGAGCTCAGAAGAAAAGAAATGTGGGGTTTTGGAAAGCCCCGGAAGTCAGTTAAAGAGCCACGCCTTCCTGGGCCTTACAGCTTCTCACCACACCCACCCCACCCCAGGGCCAACACTCACTTGCAGTGACTTTTTGAGCTTCTCCACGATATGATTCTGGATCGAGGGGTCACAGAGGATGTAGTCAGGGGCCACGCAGGTCTGGCCGCTGTTCATGAACTTCCCCCAGGCTATGCGCCTGTGAAAATCCCAGATTGGACTAAGTCCCCAGGGCACAGGGCATTTCCTGAGAACATGCCTGTCACTCTGCATGCCAGGGGCCAGCTGAGCCCTGGAGGGGAGCTTGCTGGTCTGTAGGAACTGTAGGTTGTAACTTTGCCACCACTGAGTCCTTCTAAACAGCCCACTCACTGGACAGAGTAGACCCAACGCCACATTCACAGCTGTCCTCAGCTCACTGGTGAGTGGTGGGAATTTCTAGAGGATGTCAGGGTGAGTGGCCCTGGTGTCTCTTTTATCACG